GGGGGCCCAGGGGGCGGGGCTTCCCCGCGCCGCTTCCTCGTGGTACACAGGCCCCGCCCACTTCCCCGTCCCCTGGGCGGTGCAGGGTTTATAAAGCCGAGCGCCGGCGCAGCAGCTGCGCAGAGTTGACCAAGCTGGTCCCGCGTCCTCGGTTCCTGTTGTGTTCAGTTCTTGACGATGACGGTGAAAACCGAGGCTGCAAGAGGCACTGTCACTTACTCCAGAATGAGGGGAATGGTAGCGATCCTCATCGGTGAGTGCAGTAAAGAGACCTGATTCTGGAGTACGCGAAGTGAAAACGTTTTGAAGGTCCCCAGACCAGATTAGTGAGTGTGGCGTGGCGTTGGACGTTATGAAGCCGTCTAAACCTTTCTTTTTCCCCCCCTCTAATCTTTATTCACAGCTTTCATGAAACAGAGGAGAATGGGCCTCAACGACTTTATTCAGAAGATTGCCAATAACTCCTATGCATGCAAACAGTAAGTTCGGGGCTTGGGGGCATTAAAGGAAATAAAGATAGTGTAGATCGAATTTACCACTCGCAAAGACTTATTCTCATCACCGTGTTCATCGGCAAACCCAATACTTCCCCTGGGATTGGGTAGAAGAAATCTCTTCTCTCCTTAAGGTCTAACGTTTAAGTTTTAAACTTAATTTTAAATTTTAAAAATTAAAATGACTTTGTGGATTGAAACTGTCTTGGAAATGTAAGATAATTTTTTCTAAATGTGAACCTAATTCAACACTCTTTGTGCAGTAACAACCCAAATTTCTATATTTAACTGGGTTGTCATTTAACTTATATTTTCTTTAAATAATTTACTTGGGTGTTTTCAATATATATGCTGAATTTTCCGCGAACGCGTAAGTCAAAAATCCTCTATTTATCTCGGTGTGCCCCCTAGTGGTGAGTTCAGAATTTTAAAATGATTCCTTTATTTTCTGCAGCCCTGAAGTTCAGTCCATTTTGAAAATCTCCCAACCTCAGGAACCTGAGCTTATGAATGCCAACCCCTCTCCTCCAGTAAGTACTCTACCTGTGATGCATCTGTACAGGAAAATTATTACTGAATCCGTATTTCTACATCGACGGATTAAAATAGCATTTCTAGAAATGAGTATCAAGGCAGGAATGCTGCACTAGTTCATAACAAGTGACATGTGTATTTAACTTTTGAGTCAGTGGAGTATAAATGCATACTTCATAGAACTTACCTGTTTGCAACATGGTTGTGTGCAGTTTCCATTTTAAACAGTGATATGCATAGGTGAAAAATCATTTTGAATGTGTTTGTGTTTGGTGATTTGTCTCAGTCATATGTAGGTATAATCTTTTACACTGCCTGTGCTTTATTATAGAAGTCTCTCTTTGAAGTAATGACATTAATGGAGAATGTTTTCTTTTCTAGCCAAGTCCTTCTCAGCAAATCAATCTTGGTCCGTCATCCAACCCTCATGCTAAACCATCTGACTTTCACTTCTTGAAAGTGATTGGGAAAGGCAGTTTTGGAAAGGTAATTTCAAATGCAGAGACTTTGTCAGCATACTCTTTCATGCATTGATGATTTTACATTCTCATTGGATGAGGATAGAAAAATAATTTTTAATTGAAACTACAGGTTCTTCTAGCAAGACACAAGGCAGAAGAAGCATTCTATGCAGTCAAAGTTTTGCAGAAGAAAGCGATCTTGAAGAAGAAAGAGGTATGAATGTGATGCCCCTCGTTCGTGGCTTGGGGTCAGAGGGGGATGCTCACTGAATTTTTACCTCGGAATTCGGGTGGCAAGTTGAAATTCGCCATTGAGTCTTCCTTGTCTTTCTCGTAGGAGAAGCACATCATGTCAGAACGCAACGTTCTACTGAAGAATGTGAAACACCCCTTCCTGGTGGGCCTTCACTTCTCTTTCCAGACTGCCGACAAACTGTATTTTGTCCTCGACTACATTAATGGTGGAGAGGTGAGCCAGTGTGGGTAGATGCCAGGCCTTGGGGTCTCTGCTAACTAAGTCTGTTTGCTTTTAGAGATACTTAGTTTAAAGCCACTGGGGTGTGTGTGGAGAGGTTACCAAAATTAGCATTTCCTTTAACTTGCCAGCTTTCAAATAGTTAAGGGATTATTTAGAGCCACTTCCTGCAATTGTTCTCTTTAGCAATATATGTCAGGAGTGATTCAGTGCTTTGGCAGCCCAAACTGACTTTGTTCTGTCTTCTGCAGTTGTTCTACCACCTCCAGAGGGAGCGCTGCTTCCTAGAACCACGGGCGCGTTTCTATGCTGCTGAAATAGCCAGTGCCTTGGGTTACCTTCATTCTCTGAACATCGTGTATAGGTGAGTCAAAGCGCTCATACCACTGCCTTCCTGGGCAGGGAGGAGCATAGCCGCAGTCTTTGGAGACTTAAAGTAATTGGTGTTTCTGTGCAATGTGGTCACTAAAAACCCAGCGTCCCAGCATATGAGCTGTCTTAACCCCATGCCACTGGGAAGCAAGCCAACTAGGTTTGTGCCTAATACAGATGAGCAGAATGAGGATTCTTTTTCTTTAAATTCACTATATAGCTGCAATACATTCAAATACTTCTGATACCCTAGGCAGTGATCTTTGTGGAGGGTGTCTTCTGTTCTTGGTGAATGAAATTAATATGCAATGATTTTTTTTTTTAACAGAGACTTAAAACCAGAGAATATTTTGCTAGACTCCCAGGGACACATTGTCCTCACTGACTTTGGGCTCTGCAAGGAAAACATTGAACACAATGGCACAACATCCACCTTCTGTGGCACACCTGAGGTAGGAGCTCTTGATTTGCTTCCAGGCCTGCCCCCCCACACCCCAGGTGGGCAGTAGTACTTTTAATGCCGAAAGAGTAAACTCTTAAGAAAGTTCATAGTACAATTCCGCACAAGCAAACTTTTGTTTGCTGCAACATGGGAAATGTTAAGGCCTTCTAGTGCTTGAAATAAAATTAGCCACTGGTAAGATCAGTGTCATAAAAAAGGGTCCCTGGTTGTTTCCTTAATATCAGTACATGTAAGGAGTCAGTCAGTCAACCTCAAAAAGTACAGAGGTTTTACTGGAAAATAATCTAAAGAAGTAGACCCTCCAGGTTGAGTCCAGGCCCTCCTTAGCCTTTCAGAGTGCATGCCTGGCCTTGGGATTGCTTGGATTTGCTGATTCTAAATGCTTTCTTCCTGCTGTGTCTTTCAGTATCTCGCACCTGAGGTGCTTCATAAGCAGCCTTACGACAGAACCGTGGACTGGTGGTGCCTGGGCGCCGTCTTGTATGAGATGCTATACGGCCTGGTGAGTGGCACACAGGGACCCGGGGACACTGCCCCTGCCTCTGTGACACTGGGACATTGACCCCTAGAGATGAGGTAGCTGGGCGCAGCCAACACGCAGGCCTGTCCATGGGGCTCGCTCTCACCAGTAAGCTCATCAAAAGCTGCTAAGAAGCCAAAGCCAGTCAGATATTTTAGAGGCGTAATTTATCTTGTAGATTTTTCTGGGTTTTCCCCCCATTTCACTTTTCATTTGTATGTTAGTGAAAAAACCATAGATTATTAGCCTAGGCTGCCACCCCCCCCATTCATAAAGGTTGCAAAAATAAACATTTAAAAATCAAAGGCAAAGAAAAAGGGCAGAGAAAGACTATCTCCAGTCCAGTTAAACACTGTATATTGCAGTTTAAGGTTGGTAATATGTGCTCTGCAAAACTTGCAATGAATTGTGAAGTCATCTCCCCTCTTCTTTCAGCCTCCTTTTTATAGCCGAAACACAGCTGAGATGTATGACAACATCCTGAACAAACCCCTCCAGTTGAAGCCAAATATTACAAACTCTGCGCGACACCTCCTGGAGGGGCTTCTGCAGAAGGACAGGACAAAGAGACTCGGAGCCAAGGATGACTTTGTGAGTGGCGCCTTCCTGTTTCCTGGGCCTCTGGGTCACACAATAGGACCGCACTGCCTTTACCAGTCGTTGCCCTTTCTACATTCATCTGTTTCTTCTCAACAGATGGAGCTTAAGAGTCACATCTTCTTCTCCCTAATTAACTGGGATGATCTCATTAATAAGAAGATTATGCCCCCTTTTAACCCAAATGTGGTGAGTATCTGCCTCTTAAATATAGTGAGGCACAAAGTGCATTTCGTGAGTCAGGAATGTGGTTGGTGGGACTTCAAGGAATAAATTGGCAGGTGTTTTATCCACAGACTCACTGTTTCCAAGAGAAAGAGTAGAAGTTTGTCCCTACAAAAGTCACATAATGTTGTGAACATATCTTGTACCAAGAGGCACAAAGTGAACTTTGCCATTTATTCGAATCATATGTGGCCCTTGAGCTTTTGTGCTTGAAAGTGGGGAGGCTATGAGAGTTTGCGTACAGATAGCATCCTAAAGAGATGAGTTCTAGCTTTGGAAGCCTAAAGGCTTCCCTGTCACTGTACCCAAAAGCATTTTTGACTCCGAGCGTATTTTCTCCTCCGGTCATAGAGCGGACCCAGTGACCTGCGGCACTTCGATCCCGAGTTCACTGAAGAGCCTGTCCCCAACTCGATTGGCAGGTCCCCCGACAGCATCCTCATCACGGCCAGCGTGAAGGAGGCAGCCGAGGCATTCCTGGGCTTCTCCTACGCACCTCCCATGGACCCCTTCCTCTGAGCAGTCTTAGGGGCGGCTGTGAAGGATCGGATCGTATGTGTGTCTGCAGATGTTTTAGTTAGCCTTTTGGCGGAGCTGCCAGCTGACAGGACATCGTTGGAAAGAGAATTTGCACATCTCTGGAAGCTCGGCAGCCCTGTCTGTTGTACACTGTTTGCCGGAAGCTTGTCGAAGAGCACGTCCTCCTCTCGGTGAGCTGACGAGGTTTTCATTTTTATCCTTCCTCCCAACCTGGTGCTATCTCTGAACTGAGCGTTAGAGCGCTGTCCCAGATAGGTGTGATAGTCTCAGGAGAAGGGAGACCTGGTCTGAGAAGGATCTTGCGCAGGTCTGTCTGGGCTGTGATGACAAATATTCTGAAATGTGCCTTTTCTGATGAGATCGCGTTAGCTCCAAAGCTTTTCCTATCGCAGAGTGTTTCAGTTCTTTATTTTACCTTCTGGATTTAGCGTGTGAACAATGGTATCAGTGTGGTATGCCTGGTCGCAGATGGATTTTGTTATAAGCATCAATGTGACACTTGCAGGACACTACAATGTGGGACATTGTTTGTTTCTTCCATATTTGGAAGATAAATTTGTGTGTAAACTTTTTTTTGTAAGATATAGTTATTAACTAAAATTTATTGAAATGGTCTTGCAATGACTTGCATCCAGATGCTTAAAGACGGCATTGCTGCTACAAATATTTCTATTTTTAGAAAGGGTTTTTATGGACCAATGCCCTAGATGTCAGTCACAGCCATTGGTGTTTTCATTGTTTAAAATGTCACCTGTAAAATGGGCATTATTTATGTTTTGGGGTTTGTTTGTTTGTTTGTGTTTTTTTTTTTTTTTTTTTTTTATAATT